CTCTCATCCTGACTGTACTGAATTAACATTTTAAACAATTTCTTTGCAAAACTCCTAAAAATTTAACAATTAGATTTTGTGAGCCTGTATACAGATTTTATTTCCAAATTTATATGACATACCCGATTGGATTTCATAAGAGCAGAAAATAGTGTTTTGCTTTTTTGCTGGTCCCAGGGCTTGAATTCCAGGCCTGGGTGTTATCCCTGAACTCTTTGGCCCAAGACTAGCACTCTATCACTTGTGCCACAGCACCACTTCTGACTTTTTCTGTGATTAATTGAAGAGTCTCACAGACTCTCTGAACCATAATCTTTAGATTTCAGCCTCCTGAGTAGCTAAGATTACAGAGATTAAGGCATGAGCCACCAGTGCCCAGCAAAACTGTGTTTTAAATTGTGTTCTCTTTGTTAATTTGGATATCTTAAAAAAAAATTTCAACACAGGCCAATCCCCCAATAAAACAAAGAAACTAGAAAAAACAGGAATACTTTAAGAACACAGCTAGTGAAAAATCTGAATAAGTTGTAAGAAGGTGCAATGGACATCTAAAGAAATCTCTAACTTTTGTTCTGCTTTGAAGATAAGCATTTAGCTTAAAAACTGCACAGTTCTAGGCCAGGTGGTGGTGGCTTATGCCTTGTAATCTTAGCTACATATAAGATCTGATGATGGTGGTTTGAAGCCAGCCTGAGTAGGAAAGTCCATGAGACCATCATCTCCAATAAACTATCCCTAAAAAAGCCAGGAGTGGAGTTGTAGCTCAAGTGGTAGAGTGCTAGCCTTGAGCAAAAAAGCTCAGCATCCAGGCAGCACTCAGGTCCTGAGTTCAAGCCCCAAGATTGGCACACACACACAAAGTATGTATGGCTTTATTATCATCTTGTGGAAAATGATTTACATACATTTTTTCAAGTTTAACACATTTTTTTACTAATCAATTTTTTAATAATTGGCAAATAAAATTATATATATATTATACAATATGAACTGAGGTCCATATGCATTGTAAATGATTACTACAATCAGTGAACATATCATCTCACACAGTCACTTATTTTTATTTTTATTTTTTTGTCAGTGATGGGGCTTGAACTCTGAGCCTGGGCGCTGTCCCTCAGTTCTTCGGCTCAAGGCAAGCGTTCTACCACTTGAGCCACAGCACTATGTTTGGCTTTTTCTGCTTATGTGGTGCTGAGGAATCGAACCCAGGGCCTCATGCATGCAAGGCAAGTGCTCTACCGCTGAGCCACCTTCCCAGCCCCAGACACTTATTTTTTGTGAGAAATTTATCTGTTAGCAGATTTCAAATATATAATGACTCCAGCAAATTTCATATGTATAGTAAGTGTAAACATTAATGTAGTGGCTAGTCTCATTAGAGTAATTACACAAGATACTTTAACTGGATTCAAAAATAGAATCTCAAAAGATATAAAGTCATCTATGAAGCTCTTTCTTCCTATTTCTCATTTTTCTTGGGTGAGCCACTTTAAACTATGTCCTTGAAGTCTGGATTTCTCCTAGTTCTTGGTTAGAAAATCTGGCAGTACAGGATGCAGAGATGAGTATGAAGTAGCCCAGACCAGTCTTTGTTTGGCTGGTATGGAATCAGTATGCTATTTTGATTCCATTTCTTGTGTGGGGCTTCACTGGACCACTAAAGTGGATATGCCTAACTCATGACATCTCTTTGTTAGTTTTCCCAACCTAATGTTAGCTTGATTTTCTGGCTTTGCTACTGAGACACTGACTCCAAAATTTTAATAGTCTTAAGACTTAAAAATTAAAAAAAAAATTTTTTTTTTTTGCTAGTCCTGGCTCTTGAACTCAGGGCCTGGGCAGTGATCTAAGCCTCTTTGTGCTCAAGGCCAGTGCTCTACCATTTGAGCCACAGCACCACTTTTGTCTTTTTTGAGTAATTTATTGCAGACAAGAGTCTCAGGGGGGGCTGGGAAGGTGGCTCGGTGATAGAGCGCTTGCCTTGCATGCATGAGGCCCTGGGTTCGATTCCTCAGCCACATAGCAGAAAAAGCCGGAAGTGGTGCTGTGACTCAAGTGGTAGAGCACTAGCCTTGAGCTGAAGAGCTGAGGGACAGCACCCAGGCCCAGAGTTCAGGCCCCACGACCGGACCCAAAAAAAAAAAAAAAAAAAAAAGAGTCTCTGGGGGACTTTTCTACTTGGGCTGGCTTTGAACCACAATCCTCAGGTCTCAGCTTCCTGAGTATTAGGATGACAGAGCCTGGATAGTCTTAAGACTTTTAAATGAGAATAAGGAGAGTTGGAAAAAAGGTAGCTCAGTGGTAGAGTGCTTGCCTTGCACGCATGAGGCCCTGGGCTCCATTCCTCAGCACCACATAAACAGAAAAAGCCAGAAGTGGTGTTGTGGCTTAAGTGGTAGAGCACTAACCTTGAGCTGAAGAGCTGAGGGACAGCATCCAAGCCCAAAAATGAGAATAAGGAAAATGTTATTTATGTGAGAGATTGTGATCTTTAGGTACTGAGAATTTTATTTAGTGGGTACTGAATTTTTCTAAAGCTTTATTTTTTCTCCTCACACCCAAGACATTGATTTATGATTAGACATTGCTGTATATGGACAAATAAATTATTACATATTCCAGAATGCCAGATTTGTTTCATATCTTGACTTAAAAAAAATTGAAAAGGTAGCTCAAGTGGTAGAGAGTTATCCTTGAGCACAAACAGGCACACAGACAGCACCTAGGCGCTGAGCTCAATCCCCAGGACTGGAAAAAAAAAAATCATGCTGGGCTCTGATGGCTCATGCGTGTAACCCTAGCTGCTCAGGAGGCTGAGCTCTGAGGATCACAGTTCAAAACCAGTTCAGACAGGAAAGTGCGTGACTCTTATTTCCACTTAAGCCCCAGAAAACTGGAAGTGGTGTTGTGACTCAAAGTGTTAGAGCACTAGTCTTAAGCAAAAGAGCTCAGGGACACTGCCAAGGCCCTGAGATCAAGCCCTACAACTGACAAAAAAAAAAAAAAGAAAAAGAAAAGGCTAGGGTGTAGCTCAAATAGTGGATTGCCTGCCTTGCAAACACAAACCTGAGTTCAAATCCCAGAGCCACCAAAAAAAGAAAAATAATTCCTATCTAAAAAAAATGCAGGAAAAATTTGAAACTAAATGTTTATTACATAAAGATATGAGGACAATTATTATGTATCAATTAAAAATTAAAACTTGAAATAAGAGACTTGAATTTAAATACATTTTAAAATATGCAGAAGAAAAAATTTAAAACTTCAATTTTGTTTTCTTTTTGTCATTCATGGGGCTTGAACTCAAGACTTATACTCTGTCCCTAAGCTTTCTTGCTAGAGTTCTCTTTTTTTTTTCTTGCTAGAGTTCTATTACCACAGCTCCACTTTGCGGTTTTCTGGTGTTTAATTGGAAATAAGACTCTCACGGACTTCCCTGCCTGGGCTGGTTTGAACCATGATCTTCATAGCTCAGCTTCCTGAATAGCTAGGCTTACAGGTGTGAGCTACCAGCCCCTGGTTTCAGTGACTTTTTATAGATCAGAGTTCAACACAAAAGCTAAGGCGAAAATGCATTCGATGAGAATATTTCTCATAGTTAAACAGATACAGTGCAAAAATTAAGTTGCAGAAGAGCCTTTATGAGCTCTTCCTAGTTTACCTAGTTGGGCTGCCACCATTGCAGAAATGCGTGGAGCTAGTACTGGTGGCTCACACCTGTAATCCTAGCTCCTGGGAAGGTTGAGGATTGTGATTCAAAGCCAGCCTGGGCAGGAAGTCCATGAAACTCTTATCTCCAATTAACCACCCAGAAAACTGTGGCTCAAAGTGCTAGAGGCTCACCTTGAGCAAAAGAACTCAAGGACAGCACCCAGGCCATGAGTTCAAGCCCCAAGACATATAAAAACCAAACAACAACAACAACAAAAACCTGGCCATAACCCAACTGGAAGAGTGTGTGCTCAAGGAGCACACCAAAGAGTTTTACCAAGTGGTGTGGCTGGATTGCCATAAAAGCTCAGGTTGTTTATTGGCCTCAGTCCGGGAGCAGAGCCTGGCAGAGGAGGATTGGAGCGCCAGAGGCCGGGGCACCTGTGCCGGTGGGGATGGGGGGGTTCCACTGCTGACACAGAGCCTGCAGAGAGAACCTAAAACACTCAGCTGTCCCGACACGGGGAGCCCGCCACGAGCCGACTGCTTCGCGCGTGTACGTGTGCGTGTGTGGAGACAAGAAATGAACGCGAAAGCCTCTATCAGGGGCTTGCTGAGCACGCCGTTCCGGACACCCAGCGGCAGCAGCCAACCTTGCCGACGGCCTGCCTGTGCAGCTGGGCTGGGAATCGCCTCTGCAGAGCCCGGGGCAGCGGCGGGCCGCACGGGGGAGACGTCGGCCGAGCCGGCCGGCGCCACAGGTGTCCACCCCGGCAGGTGACGGCGGGCCCGGGCCTCGCCGCCGCCACCTCCCCAAACCAGTCGTTCGACCCTTTGTGCGGATCTGTGAAAGCTTTCCCCGCACCCGGGCTGGGCGGGCGCGCGGGCATGTCTGCGATTCTCAGGAATCGCCAGGTCGCGAGGTCCGACCCGAAACGGGAGATGAGGGAAACCAGGAAGATCTGCGAGGAAAGCACGGGTCTCCCCGGTCCGGCCCCCCGAGGCTCGGCGGAGGTTTCTTTGTCCAGGTCTCCGGGGCCGTGCGCCTGAGCTGCCCGCTCTGGGGGGGAAGGGGGGCGGAGGCTCCGGGGGGAGCGAGGGGGCGGCGGGCGCCTCTCCTGCCCGGTCTGGGAACCCGGGATCCCCCGCGGACCCAGCCAGGCCCGGAGCGACCCGCCGAGCAGCCCGCGCCCGCGAGGGGTCCCCGGGCCCGGCCCGCCCCGATCCCAAGGTGCACCGCGCGCGCCCCCTCCCCGCTGCTCCGCGCGCCCCGCCCCTCGGCCCGGACCCTCCCTCGCGGCGGCGGCGGCAGCGGCGGCGGGAGGCGGGAGGCGGCGGCGGGAGGCGGGGACGCGACGCGGCGGCGGCGGCGGCGGTTCCAGTCGCGTCTGTCCTCACTCACCGGGGAGCCCGGCGGTGGCGGCACCTCTCGAGACACCGACGCGGAGCCGGAGCCTGCTGGCTGGCCAGAGAGCGCGGTCGGACAGCCGGGCGGCGCCGCCGACGGACGTACGGACAGCGGGACAGCTCGAGTCGCCTCAAGTTCCGCCATGAGCTGGGGCACGGAGCTGTGGGTGAGTGCGGGGCGGGGGGCGCGGGCCGGAGGGGGGCGGCCCCGGGTCCGCGCCGGCGGGCGGGGGTCCCGCTCGGCTTTGTGTGCAGGGCCGTCTTCCCGCCGCCGCCGCCGCCGCCGCCGCCGCCGGGGGGCCGGAGCTCGCGCCCCCCGTCGCCGCCCCGGCCGCGCCCCGGCCGGCGGGGCTGCCTCCCGCGGGCCCCCGCGCCCGCGCCTGCACTTTCTCGGCGCCCGGCGGGGCGCCCTCCGCTCCCTTTGTGGCTCTCCGCCCCGCGTCGGCGGAGGGAGCTATTGTCCCGGGGCGCGGGGCGTCCGCGGCCGCCGGGGCTCGGGAGAGGGGCTCGGGCGGCGGGCTGTGCGGCCCGGGGCGGTGCCCGGAGGGGCGGCGCGGAGCGGCGCCGCCCCAAGCCCAGGTACGCGGAGCCCGGCGGCTTTGTTCGGGGCCCGGCCCCCACGCCCATTTCCCCTTCCCCGCGCCGCGCGCCCCGCGGACGCCGCGCGCTCTGGAGACTCGGACTCCGGCCGCCGCCCGGGCACCCGCGGGTCGGCTTTGTGGCCCGAATTCGCCTGGGGGACCGATGGCGGCGCGTGCGGCTTCCCGCCCTCCCCCCCGCCTCTCCGCCGGGGTTCTCCCTCTCGAACCTCCCCGGCGCCGCAGGCTCCAGACCAGGCCCCGGGGGGGCTGGCCGGGGAGGTGGGGCGTTGGAGCAGTCCCGACGCGGGCCCGGGCGGCGGAGGCGCGCGGGCGGCGGGTTCGCAGGTGCGGCGCGGGGGCGCTGTCCCGGGCGCCGGCCCGGCCACTCCCCCTTCTCCCACCTGTGCGGCTCCCGGCCTTTGTTCGCGGGCTCCGGGGATCGCTGCGGAGGGAGGCCGAGCCGCTGGGACGCGCCGGGCTCGAGGTTTCCGCGTCTCTGCCCCCTCCCCCGGGTCCTGTGGATAGACTTGAGCGGTCACATATGGGGAACACTTGCTTCGGCCCTCCCGGGAATCTCCGGTCTGCAAACACCACACACGCCGAGAAAACACTTGAGGAGCCTCTCCAGACCGCGCCTTCCGTGGCACCGATTGTTCCTGGTATAACGGGAGAGTGCGCGTAGGTGAATCCCGCCCTCTTCACCTCTCACACCGGTGAGGGAGTCGGACATGATTTCTTTTCCTTTTATTTGTACCTTTCTGTGATTGATTGTAATGCCAAGGAACAGAAGTGGAGTTGGTTTTAGTTTCCGTTTTCCTGACTTCTTTTTTTTAATGTGTGTGTGTGTGTGTGTGTGTGTGTGTGTGTGTGTGTGTGTGTGTTGGTGTTGGTTCTGGAACTTGAACTCGGGGTCTGGATGCTGTCCCTGAGCTTCTGTGCTCAAGGCTAGCACTCTACCACTTCCTGCTTTTTGGTGTGGTTCATTGGGGATAAGAATCTCAGGGACTTTTCCTGCCCGCACTGGCTTTGAACTGTGATCCTCACATCTCAGCCTTCTGGGTAGCTAGGATTATAGGCGTGAGCTTTCCGTGCTCACCTTAGCTTTCATTTTTTATTTAAAAACGTGGAGATTTTACTTTGTGTGTGTGTGTGTGTGTGCTGGTCCGGGGGCTTGAACTCAGGGCCTGGGGGCCGTCCCCGAGGTTTTTTTTTGCTCAAGGCCGGCACTGTACCACTTGTGCCATAGCTTCACTTCCCGCTTTTGGTTGTTAATTGGAGATAAGAATTTCATGGACTTTGCTGACCAGGCTGACTTCCAACTGTGATCCTCAGATCTCAGCCTCCTGAGTAGCTAGGATTACAGGTGTGAACCTGTCTAGTTTAGGTTTTGAACTCAAAACCTTGTACTTATAAGTGCTCTACTGCTGAGCAACACCCTCAGTTTCATTTAAAAACTTAAAGTTCACTTTGTATCACACTATAGAAAAAGTTTTAAGGAAAAAATATTTTAGTGACGACTAAAATGTGTCCAAGCCCTCCAGTACTACTGATAAAGACTAGAATGTAATTTAAAAGTTATTTTAAAAGTTAATCTGCTACATCAAGCAGCAATTTCAGTCCTCCAGTCTCACCTAGTTTATTTTCAGCATTTGAATAGTTTTTTCCCCCAACATTTTGAAAAGATAAACCTTAGGAGAGAGGAATTTCTGCTCTAATTGAAAATTGTTTTATAGCCTCTGGAAATGATGGGAAGAAATTTCCTTTTTTTTTCTTGAAGAATTTTTTTATTCCACGCTGGGGCTAGAATTCAGGGTCTTCTGCAAATGAGCTGTGTTCTGGCACTGATGTACATCTTTAGCCCTCTCAAAATTTAACAATCATATTTTAAAGTTCATAGTGGTTTCAGGAGGACTTGATGGAAACATTTATTAGAAACTAAGTAATGCAGAGCCAACTAATATCAACTCTAAACCTTAGATAATTAGAACTTGGTGTAGAGAACTATGAGTGGGAGTAGAATAAACCTTGTAAAAATTCCACTAGACTTCGTTTTTACTTTTTGTTTTGAATAAGGATGTTGTGCTTCCAAAGAATTGTAAGGAGGTGGGTGCCAGTGACTCACGCCTGTAATCCTAGCTACTCAGGAGGTTGAGATCTGAGGATCACAATTCAAAGCCAGCCCTGTCAGTAAAGTCCTGAGACTCTTACCTCCAATTAATCACCAGAAAACCGGAAGTGTTGTCATGGCTCAAGTGGTAGAGAGTTCACCTTGAGCTGAAAAGCTGAAGGACAGGACCCAGGCGTAGAGTTCAAGCCCTACAACCGGAAAAAAAAAAGAATTGTAAGGAAAGACAAATATCTGGGCTTTCTCTTGGTACTGGGAACTTTAAGGTTGGGAAAAGTCCCAATTTTTAAATTTAGAAATAAAATTTCATTATTTAACAAAGAATGATAAGCAGTGATTGTACTCAGGCCTGTTGTAATGATCAGTGGAATTTTGTTACTATCTAATGTTTCTTAAAATCTTAAATCCGATAGTAAAGGGATTCCATAGAAGTGCATAACTGGCACTAGGTGGTAGAACCAACAATGATTTCCTGAGTGGATTGTGTAAGACTTGTGTAGCTAGGAAGGAATATCAATTAGCTGATAATGAATGAATAGCAGCTGTGCTTTGAGGACTTATAGTGTTCCATGTGAGCATTTAAGGCTGTGAATATATACAATACCAGAATCACCTCAATTCTCTTCCGAGTTACACCAAAGATTGCAGCAGCTTCATTTTCTCAGGGTGTGTGGTAGCTATAGAGTACCATCTCAGGCATCACTTATTATATTCCTTTCTTTATAATAGAAACAATGCTGAACAGAAAGCTAAACATGAGTTGATGATGTCACATAACATACCTTTTAATAATTATTGGCTCTTTTCTTTTTTGCCAGTCCTGGACTCAGGGTCTGGGCACTGTCCCTGAGCTTCTTTTGCTCAAGGCTATCACTCTACCACTTGAGCTACAGAACCACTTCAGCTTTTTCTGTTTATGTGGTACTGAGGAATCAAGCCGAGGGCTTCATGCACGCTAGGCAAGCACTCTACCACTGAGCCACATTCCCAGCCCTATGACCCTTAGTTTTTTTTTTTTTTTTTTGGGGGTCCGGTCGTGGGGCCTGAACTCTGGGCCTGGGCGCTGTCCCTCAGCTCTTCAGCTCAAGGCGAGCGCTCTACCACTTGAGCTACAGCGCCACTTCCGGTTTTCTGGTGGTTTATTGGAGATAGGAGTCTCACGGTCTCTCCTGCCCGGGCTGGCTTTGAACCGCGATCCTCAGATCTCAGACTCCTGAGTAGCTAGGATTACAGGCGTGAGCCACCAGCGCCCGGCTTTCTGAAGGACTCTTAAGGGGTGATAGATTAGGTGGTCTAGATCAACTCAGGAATGTCTAAACAGACTGAAAATAATACAAAATTAGCAGTGCCGTAACTGATGAGAGCCAACCTTTTTTTTTTTTGAAAAATGTTAAACATGAAAAAAAATGGTGATGTACAGTGGGATTACAGTTACATAAGTCAGGTAAAGGGTATATTTCTTTTTTCAACAATGTCATTCCTTCCCTCGAAGTTAAACATTTTTATAGGTTGAAGAGGACATTACCTCTTAAAAGATAGTTCCTGTCAATTTAATTGGCTGACAGCTTGGTAATGTTACTGTCAACAAGAGTTGGTTGAATCTTAAGAATAAATAAGTTTATTTATTTGGACTAAAGGAATTGAGTTGCACTGCAGAGGACTAGTTAGAGTATGTTGGTTAAAATTGACTTTATTTTATGTGTTTTAGAGGGCACTTGATTAGAGGAAGTAGGCAAAGCTGCTGCTGCTGCTTTTTTTCCCCCCGTAGGTCCTGGGGCTTGAACTCTGGGCCTGGGCACTGTCCCTTCACTCTTCAGTCAAGGCTAGCACTCTATCACATCACCACTTCTGGTTTTCTGGTGGTTTATTGGAGATAAGAGTCTCACGGACTTTCGGGCTGGCTTTGAACCATGGTCCTCAAATCTCAGCCTCTTGAGTAGCTAGGAATACAAGCATGAGCCACTGGAGCCAGTCTGGCAAAGCTTCTTGATGTGAGCTGGATCATGTTTCAAAGGCCATGAAACTGATGTAGATTTTTTTTTTGTGTGTAAAAACTAAAGCAATTTTTATGTCTCATATACTAAACATTCTGCTATATGTGCTGAAATTTACTAAGGCTTGCAATATTGGCCCTGCCCTTAGAAAACTAGAGTTCTTTTGAGGTGGTATAGATTGTAGCCCTTATCTAAAAGCTTGCCACCTGAAATAAATACTTGGCGCCCAAATGGATTTCTAATTTCAGGTTTGGAATATTCACATGTACATAAAGAAATGCCTTCAGTATAGAACCCGTCTAAACACAAAATTAATTTATGCTTCAAGATACTTTACACACATAATCTGAAGATAATTTATACAGTAATTTGAAAGTGCTTTTTGTGATATAGTAGTAAGGGTTGAACTTACTCTTGCTAGACAGGCACAGAGGGCACTGTACCATTTGAGCCATGCCTCCAGTCCT